TATTATTAACGATGAAAGGTGAAGATAAGAAGAGTGTTTCCTAATCCTAGTATCTCGAGTTGCTTTCTCCTATTTTGTAACCATAACGATCCGTCTCTATCCGTCCTGTATACATATATAAAATGATAAAATAATCTTAAAGGGCTCGTACTTCTGCTTTTTCATATACATCTTAAACCTTTATTAAATAAACTAAGAGAAACTAAAGTTAGCAAATTAGTTTGTGGATATGAGACTGTGAGTTCTATAGAGACACTAAAGTTAATCACAGCAAAAGTTTAATAATTACTAAAGTTCCAAATATTTGTGTGTGGTTTTCTTTTGTTTTGCTTCTCCAAATTTTGTATTTTAAGTTATGACATAATATATTTTTAGTAAAAAAAAATATTTTCAGTAATAATGGATTAAAAATATTCTGTCAAAATATCTATCCACTGTGCTTTAACAATAACTTTTGTTAGATACTCCATCTGTTCGCTATAATCGATCAAAAAGGTTAGAAAATACAAAATCAAAACAAATAGATTTAGACTTTTAGTTAACCCTCGTGACCTCAACGTAAGAGGTGTGGAATTTACAGAAATTTCCTATCTTTCCTATATACGTCAATTAAAAACTAAGAAATAAGATTGGCATTTGATTATCTTTACGATTAAAGAGAGCCACATGAATACATAGCACAATAAAGAAAATATTAGATTTTATATATTAATCAAAGAAATATATCATTGGCATTAACCCTTTAGTAAAAACAAAAAACTTATCATTGGCACTTTTGAACCTAACTTCTGCGAAATGGCGTCAGCAAATGTCAACTTCAAAGGGTAGGAATCTCCATTTTTCCGGATTTGAGGCTCAAATCGATGCTAATCCATTTGATTTTATAAACAGCGTTTTAATTTTCTTATACACAAATAATAACATTAAAACACATACTGTACATCAAACTTACTCTAATTACTATTATTTTTTAAGAAAAATCTCTACCACTATTTAATGGAATAAAGTTGGAAAATCAACACAACAATAACACTCAAGTTTTTCCATTGCGGCTTGACACCTCAATTTTGTTAAGTTTTATAAACATGACACCTTAGCAAAAATAATCATCAATCAAAATATTTTATTAATATATTTCATCTATTTATTTTAATTTTTAAACTTAAACCCATTAAAAACCCAAATATTTTTTCTATTAATTTTTGTTTTATTTTTTACCAAACTGAAGCCCAAATAATTAATAACAGTAAATAAAAAATTATTATTTTATTTTTTGTCAAAACTAAATCCAAATAATAAATAAAAACAAATAAATAATAAAAAAGTTCTAGCTATCTCTTTGTTTGACATAGACGTATATGATTGAAAAAGTGTAGGTTCACCATCAACTATGTTTCCATGACAACAATGCAAAAAACCTTATGTTATAAGAAGCTCACACATCAGCAAAAATTTGAACCGATAAAAACATAACAATTTCTTAGTTTTCGCAGGAAAACACAATTTCACGGGAGATAATGCAATTTTTAGTTTTCCCGGAAAATTGTAGTTTATTTGTTTTTGTAGGAAAGCGTGATTCTGGGCTTGACGAGAAAATAATTTTTTTTTTGGCAGGAATAAACGAGTTCTCAGTTTTTGTAGGAAAAATAAAATTTTTGATTTTGGCATAAAAATACAAATTCTTTTTTTTTTTAGTTTTTGCAGGAAGATGATTTTTTTTGATTTTTGTGAAAAAGTAATTTCTCGGCTTTGGTGGAAAAACACAGGTTCTCGCGGGAAAATAAAATTTTAGGTTTTATGTTTGACGAGAAAATGATTTTTTTTTTGTTTTGACAGGAATAGCCGATTTATCAGTTTAATGGGAAAATGATTTTTTTTTTTGTTTTGACAGGAAATGCGATTTCTCGATTTTTGTAAGAAGATAAAATTTCTCTGTGCTAAATTTCCAAGTTAAAGTATGTTTACACTAACCAAAATTTAATTATTTAACTTTAACTAAAACGATATTTTAAGAGTTCAAACATAATTTTCTATTTAGTTCTAAAACAATAGCAGTGGTTTTGATATGAATGTTATTGATTATAGTTTGATAGTTTTAGAAACATATGTTTATAATAAAATATTTGATAAATAAATAAATTTTATAATTCAAAATAATCATATTAATTAATAAATCTTTTTAAATGATATTTTACTTTGTATAATTAAAAAAGAGTATCATGTGACAATTTATTGGAGAAAATAGATTACATTTACTATTAGTATGAAGGTACTAAAAATATATTGCTTTATTCTTATATATTTGATTCCTATATATACATTTATAATTAGTTAGCTAACTAAATTTAATAGCAAATTATAATTTTGAAAAATAAAAAAAATAAAAAATATATAATGTTTATTCAGATTTAAAACATATAAATACATAACTTAAGCCAATAAAAAAATATAATATTTATTTATATTATAAAAATAATTTTATTATATTAAAAATATATACAAAATTTAGAAATATCCCGCAGCATAGCGCAGGTAAATACCTAATCTTTTATTAAACCTCACCCAAACTACAAAAAACAATTGATTTTTCAACTCTGAATAAAAGATAACCAGATATACTTAGAACTAATTAATCCATATAGTCTTACGAAAATACTGAACTATATCTACTATATACATAGTGGTTATTATATATATATATAACTTTTGTAGTCTTTTGAATTTCAATTCATCCAGATTTTGTAGCTTTTTCAGTTTCAATTCATCTAGTCGAAATGTTTGTTTTTCTTTTAAAAATTAATCGTTCATACAACATGTAATTATTATTCGACTTCCTCCTAAACTTTAATTGAGCAACTTTATATTTTTACCTATATATATAAAATATATCTGTTTATATTCTTTTAAACATCATATCCATTTATATTCTTTTTTCTTTAACCACTTGGTAAATCCGAAAAGAAACCATCTCTAGAAAATATTATGGAGGAAATGACCCAATATTATGCCTTAAGGTCAATCATGCCTCCCCATTTTTAGATGAGCACAAACATATTCAGTCACATTAATAATGTATTGTTATTATGTTTGCACACATATATACGTACATATCTTGATATATATTAAATCCCGAATCCATCTATATAAAGAAATGTTCTTTTCCGGCCCAAAAACACTTTATAATGTTCTTCAAACATGTGATCTAATTCTAGACAAATCTTTTGTATAATCAATCAAAGACGTGGCTGATCCTTTCTAATCATGTGGTTATAAATTTCCTTAGGCCGGTAAGAATCCATCTCCACCACAAAACGGAAATTGGACATATGTCTATTTTAACGTATAGTTAAATATTGCGTTTGAAAGTGAACTTAATCTGATTCTCATTCCCCAAAACCAAGTCTCTCTGTCAGAGTAACAGTAATGATTCCATATTAGATTTGTTACTTATAACTACCACAAAGACAAAAAAAAATTGTATCTAGTAAAGAGGATCAATAAACCATAATATGTAGGTTAATCGTCTGTGAGAGTGTTGTTACTGTGTTATTATCTGGATTCAAAATTTAAACTCAAATACGAGCAATACGACGATTGATATCATTGACATGTTTATAACATCTAAGAATGGTTTATTATTTCCACAAATATTTTTACATCTAGACACGTACAAAAACTTTTATTCATTTATTTATATATTTTAGTGCAATTACAATGATTTTTATTATTATTTTATTGTAACATCTTCGACCGCCCATTTCGGCAAGTCACTTATCCCTCTGTTGGATTTGTGGGCCCCGCTCTTGTCCGACGGTCAATGCGTTATTTTTCCCAGAGCCCAATCGACTTATTTACTGATCCTGCAATCACCACATGATCTTTCTCCGTGTTTTGACCTCACTTACACAGTTTTGAGAATCACTTCCTGAAAGGTCACCCATCCTAGTCCTACTCCAGGACAAACACCCTTAACTGTGGAGTTCTCTCAGGACTTGTGACCGAAAAGATAAGTGTACTTTGATGACATAGGTTGCCAAATCAATCAATTTAAACTTATTCAAATAGGCCAGGTCCGGATCGTTACAATTCGCCCCCACTAAACGGGAATTCGTCCCCGAATTATGATCCCGATAGTGTGAGCTTTAACCCCCAATCCCCAAGACAGTCTCCTGGGACAGAACCAGTTTGATTTCCCAGACTCTGATACCACTTGTAATGCTCCCGACTGCCCATTTCGGCGAGTCACCCATCCCTTTGTCGGGCTCGTGGGCCCCGCCCTGTCCGACGGTCAGTGCGTTATTTTTTCCAAAGCCCAACCGACTTATTTACTGACCTTGCAATCACCACATGATCTTTTCCCGTGTTTTGGCTTCACTCACACGGTTTCGGGAATCACTTCCCGAAAGGTCACCCATCCTAGTCCTACTCCAGAATAAGCACCCTTAACTGTAGAGTTCTCTCGGGACTTGTGACTGAAAAGATAAATGCACTTTGATGACATAGATAGCCAAATCAATCCATTTAAACTTATTCAAATGGACTAGACCCGAATCATTACACTTATAACCATATTAGTCTATGAAAAATCCATTTAAATCACCCATTAATTTAAATGAGTTAACAATTGACTCAAACAATTTGCTATATGAGTTGGATTAATCCATGATATTTTTAACACAATTCATTTAGATATGGGTTGATTTAAATTGGTTTTTCCATTTTGACACCCACCCCTAGATATAAATATTATTAGAACATTTAGGTCTAAACTAATCTTATTATTTAACCAAAAAAATCAGCTAAAAATATAAATCAACCAAAAAGCAACGAATTTGTCCATCTTGACTAAAAGCAACAAACTGATGTAATATATATATATATATATAATGACAATAAAAAGCATTTTGCAGTCCATTGATTGTCTAAAAGGATTTCATAAATTACTCAATCTTTGTCTCTGTAAACACAAACTCAAACTCAAACTCAATTGAAACTCTTTCAGAATAATACTATTATTATTGAGAAAATCTTCGTAAGATAGTAAAAGCAAGAAACATGCGTATGTTAATAATACTAGAAATTAATTGGTGCAAGTACAATAGCCGTCAAAACACATGTATGAGCCCGAGACACATGTATATCTCATACGAGGATCACAATCACTCGTCAACTTGCATCTCCGGGCTTGTCTCATTGTGTTAAAGTTGTCGAGTTTAGGTTGATGAGTCGACGGGCATTGGCATTGCCTATTTACACATAGAGCTGACCCGCTCGAGCAGTGAACATATTCGCAATCTTTTGTTGTATTGCAAGGAAGAAAAACCTGAGCTTCCGCTGTAGGAATACTCACCATCATTGCACCTAATATGAAGCATATACGTTCATAAGCATATGCTATCCTCAAACTTTAAATCAAATGTGTACGCTTAAGTAAAAGTCTTGTTAGAGAGAGACTAGAGAAACTTACAAGCGATAACGAGAGCAAGGAGGATGAAGAATGTGATCTTTGATGCCATTTTTAATGATGACTATAAGTTATAGAGCAAGGAGGAAGAAGAATGTGATCTTTGATGCCTATAACTTACAGACCTCTGCTCTTTATAGTCTCTTTGAATTTCAGAAATTGATTTCAATCCCTGATTTTATGTATTGACTCTAATCTCTAATGACTTTGGCGTTAATAGAAAATCTTTTATTTTACAGAATGTAGTCAAAATGTAAATAAGTTTGATTTTTAGTCAAAATTTGGATGATTGTTTTGTATTTTTACTGGTTGATTTGTCTATCATATTTATTAAGTCCATATATGGTCATATCAAAATATTATAAATTAGGAAATACATAACCGATAAAGCTAAAAATTGGAAAACAGTAAATGCAATATAAATTTTATGTTTAGGCCAAAATGTTTTTTACAGAAAAAAAATTAAACAATGAGATGGAGCTTATTTTGGTGACAAGATACTTTTGTTATACCTTATTCTAGTATATATTATTCTTTATTTTTTTCAGATACTTTTGTTATTCTGTAATATAAATAACTTACAAATATTTAAATATTTTGGCTTCTGATTACATGGGTGTCGGGTGAAGATAAAGTCCCGTTTGTGACATCTCTATCATTGTTCAATGATTTGAATTAACAAAAGTTATTAAAGTAATATGTAAAACTATCATACCGAAGTCAACTTCTTAACATTGCCACCTTCCATCTTTAAATCATCTACAAAAAATGGGCCTTAATTTATATTTTTAGTTCAATTTTTCTTAAAGAAATTTTAATCTTTAATCTATAACTTTGTTCGATTGCTACACTTAAACATGTTAGAAACGGCACTGCATCCTCTAGAAATGGTGATTGTTTCATATCAAACTGAATTTCACACTAAAACTGACAATAAAGCCTAGTCGGACTATTATTTGATCATGGCTAACAAACTAATTAAGCTGTGTAAATATAATTTAGTTTACAAAACCATAACCGGACCACACATATGGTCCAAAAATATAATAACAAATGCATTTTCAGTCCATAGAGATGGAGCTTATCACCAAGGATTGTCAAAAAAGGATTTCGTAAATTACCCAAGCTTTGTCTCTGTAAAAACATAAATCACACACTCAATTGAAACACTTTCAGAATAAATGTTATTATTATCATTGAGAAATTTTTCCAAAGATAGAAAAAGCAAGAAACATGCATTTATTAATAACTAGAAGTTAATTCGCGCTTCGCGCGAGTGTGTACATTATTTTTATATAAGAAAACTATTAAATTTGATTGTATAATTTCATTATGTACCATCTATCTGCCACTGTTTGAAATAATTAATTTTAGTATGCCTATGTTTTAGAATTTGTAAGAGTTAGTTTTTCTTGTAATAATAAGGTATGCTTAGAGTTTTAGGTGAGTTATGCATTGATGTGTACCTTATGTTATATTTTTGTTTATGTTTTCAGTTGTTATTATTGGAATATATTTTTCTTTTTTCGATCTAATCTTTTTATTATTTTTATTTATTTATTTTTGTCATTTTTTAATTCTTGTTCTAATGGTTTTTATTATTAAATTCTAATGTTATATAATTGTGCCACATAATTTAGTATGTTTTAATCGTCTTGTTTGTCTCATGTATAGTGTGTTCTTAATGGAAGCAATGTTTGTCTGTATAAATGTTTATATAGTAAACACATTTTTGAAGTTGATTTTTATATAATTATTTTTTTAGTTATATTAATTTAGTCGTTTGTTTATGTTTCGTGATAGAAAAGTTGAAAATATGATTTTTTTAAAGCTCATAAGCCCATTCTGAAAATATATAAACGTCATTGGTGGTCATCTTCTCAGCCTTTGCTTAAGCTTGAAACTCTTTTCTGTAATGATCTTCTCGAAGGTAGTGTCTCGTGTTTGATCATGATGTTGATTATTAAAATATAAAATTGATATTCTGTTCTCCGTTCTGTTCTACTTTTTCCTATCTCTAAATGTATTATTATTTTGTTATTGGGTGATTTGTGCTTTTTTGCTTCCTTATTTTCGGATTCAATCGAGGGTATTTATATTTTCTTCCACTCTCTAATTTTGCTTTTTTTGTGATCTTTTTTCTTTCTAATTCATCTCCCGCTCATGGTTTAGAGTCTGCAGTGCGAGAAGTTGTGGACACAAAATCTTCCTTTCTCGGTTGTATTATTAAATGGTGGTGGTTTGTGTTCCTCTCTCTATGTGCCGCCTCTTCTAGGTATGTGATCTCTGTTTCTATGATATTAATTTTCTATCCGGGATAAAGTTTATGTTTGCAGACTATGGTACTGTGCGTTTTTTTTATTAGTAGGCACATTGAAAAGTAATTATTCATTTTGACAATCTGCAAATTTATTGTTAGGATTCTTGGTAATTAGTTAAGGCATACCTTGTTGGTGTGTAGAGGCTTAATCTAGACCGTTTAATTGTTCGTGTTTCATTGTTGGTTTAGAAGGTCTTGTATTTGGCTTAGATTATGTTAAGTTGCGTTTTTATCTTATGTGTTTTCATATAATTGGGACGTCTTGAGAAAGCCTTAATTTAAATGGTTTCTATATTGTTTGTCCGTAGAGATAACATTTGTTTTAAACTGGCAGCACGAAAATTTGGAAAATGTGTATTTGTGTATTGCGGAGAATTATGGAGATTAACTAAAATAACATTTGTTTGAATAACAACATAAGATTATGTGGTTGCGTCACAATAATTTTTCTTTGATGTTTAAATGATGTACACAAACTTGACAATATGTTTGTAGTAGTAACAGTGATGACATCTGTTATCTAGTTCGTTTGGGTTGCACATTATTGATGGTTTCATATTCGTCAAATGCACTAAGACGGATCTTCTGGGCACTGGAGAGGAAAGAAGTGTGTTTTGTATTAGTTAGTTATGTATTTTTATGAAGTATTGCATGAGAAGGAGGCTGAGATATGAAGTTTTCAGAAGGGGTGAGACTAATTTGAGATCAGAGAATTCGAGATAGGCACCTGCCATGAGATCGTTGTTGAGAGGAGATGTGCTTTAGAGTGTGAAGAAAATGATGAGGAAATAGTGTGGTATTTATATGTGGGGAGATGGGCTAGAGAATTAAATGGAGGATTTGAGTAGTGGGCAGTGGAATTGAAGAGGGTAAAATAATACCTTTGATTAGTGGACACTATGATGAGCCGTTACAGATCTTAGTTTTAGCTGTGGGAAAGATGAGAAGCTGCGGGCGTCGTTGCAGGTTTTTTGGGGATAAAAAGAGCAATGTTTTTTGTGATGTTGGGCTAGGGTTTTATATTCAGGGTCTTAATCTGTTTAACTTTTAATCTAACCCAACATAACTCGATAAAACCTAAAATTCAGAAGCCCATATAGATATAGATATAGAAGCTGGGAAAAATGAAATAAGATGGCATTTGATTGGGACGCTGACGTGGCTGCATGAAAAGAGAAAAAAATGTTACTTTATAGATATAGATACTAGGCATTAATGGGCACAAGTACAATAGCCTTCAAAACACATGTACGAGCCCGAGACACATGTAGATTTCATACGAGGATCACAATCACTCATCGACTTGCACGTCTGGACATAACTCATTGTTTTAAGGTTGTCGAGTTTAGCTTGATAAGTCGACAGACATTGGCATTGCCTATTTATACATAGAGTTAGCCAGACCGAGCAGTGAATAAATATGCAATCTCTTTGTGTATCGCAAGGAAGAGAAACCTGAGCTTCCGCTGTAGAAATACTCACCATCATTAATGATATGAAGCATGTCGTTTCATAATCATATGTTATGCTCAAACTATAAATCCAATGTGTATGCTTAAGTAAAAGTCTTGTTAGAGAGAGACTAGAGAAACTTACAAGCGATAACGAAAGCAAGAGGATGAAGAATATGATCTTTGATGCCATTTTTTTATGATGGCTACAACTTACAGACTTCTCTGCTCTTTATAGTCTCTTGGAAACTTTGGAAATTAATTTCAATCCCTTTTTTTTGTTATGTATTGACTTTAATCTTTATTGACTTTGACATTAATAGAATACCTTTTATAGTATTACTGAATTTAGTCAAAATGTAATTAAATACGTTTGGTTTTTAGTCAATGTCCGGAGGATTTTCTTGTATTTTTTTTTCTGGTTGATTTGTATACATATTAATTAAAGGTACCTTATTTTAATTAAATGACAAGAAACTATACTTTTATTATTCTTTAATTCTGTGAAATCTAAATAAATGAGTACATTTTACATACCCATAGAACTTGTAATATACTTACAAATATTTCAATATTTTGGCTTGTGTGTCGGGTGAAGATAAAGTCCCGTTTGTGACATCTCTATTGTTAGAGGAGAAATGAGCACATTTCATAAAAGGTCTTTCTCGCAATAATCTAAGCCCATCATGACCAGGAAGACCGCGCCGACCTAGCTCGGATTAAAGTAAAACTCTTAAAAGATAATTATGGAAGACCGGAAACATCGGATTAGTCTAGAGGATAAAGGAGAATTTCCATATTCTTTAGAGAATAAGGGATATTTTCATATCATGGATACGAAAATATTCACTAAAGGCAAAAAGAAAATGAACTCGAAGCAACCGACCTCCTATTCCTATAAATACAAAGGTCTTGGAGCCTGAAACGAACAACTCATACAATCTAGAGAGCAGCATAGCTAAAACCAGAGACTCCAACACTTTCTAGCTTACTTCGCAAACCTTCTTTTCACTTCGGCATAACCTCTCTGTTATTCTATTCTTTGTAATCGCTTCGCCTTATTACGAATAATAAAAGACTTTATTCTCCAAAACCCACAACTGTTAATCAAACCCTAGTGGTGATTTTTTGGTTCAACAATTGGCGCCGTCTGTGGGGACTAGGAGAATAAATTCTTAGAAAAAACCAAGTAAGAAGCTGAAGCGATGAGCCTTCCCATCAACAACAGCGATCTCATCCACGATGACACCACTCACACTGAGACACCTGCTCTCAGTGAACATACGAACGTCACTACCGCGAATCCACCCACGAGAGCACCCCCAACTCTCCTCCAGGCTGCTGACCTCGCTGCAGCTATCCAGGCCGCCATGCAGCCACTCACTCAGGATTTGGTGTCCAAACTAGACACCCTCCAGGCCCAGCAAGCCAAATATGATGAGCAACTCAGCGCTTTCGCAGCCGTGATAACCGCAAGATCAGAGCCGACCGGGCGACGTTTGATCTTCGAAACACCAATGCAAAATAACACCCGGAGTACAGCAGCCGACGAAGAGGAGCCTTCTGGTGAACTAAATTCTGAGATCGCAAGGCTTCATCAGCGAATCAATGCGATCGGATCACAAGTCCATCGAGCCACCAGCTCGGCGCCCGAGATCTCAGCCATCCTCTTAGATGCAGAATGCAATCCATTCGCCCCACGGATCATCGACGTCCGACTCGGCGAGGCAATAAAACTGAAGCTCTCATACTACAACGGGATGGAGGATCCCAACCTATGGCTGACCGGATTCAAGGCAACGATTCAAGACCGACCTTGAACGAGAAGCCAACCACTGCCAAACCTTTGTTGAACACCTCAACAAAGACGCTTTGAAGTGGTTCTCTAACCTACCCCCGGCCTCGATCAAATCCTTCAAGGATCTGACTCATGCCTTCATCAAACATTATTCCATGTTCATCACAAAAAGGATGGTCAACCAGTTCACTCTAGTGCAAGAATGCGACCAACCACTCCGCGATTTCATCGAAAAATTTAAGAACGCCGCCGCGGCAAATGGGCAAATCCCTCAAGCTTTAGCCATCGAGGCACTCATGAACGGTTTGTGGTACGAGTCTTCTTATAAAGAAGATCTACAGAAACACCCGAAAGAAACCATAGAGGATGCACTTCATCGGGCCCAGACCTTCATACAGATGGAGGAGGAGAAAATATTCTATGCCAAGAAACACGGCTTGGACATGGCAAACACTTCAAAAGATAAAGAGCCCGCGAGTAAAAGCAAGCCCTCCTCTCATGCTGTCGTAGCAACCACAGAGAAGCCCTGGCATCAATGGGCCTTAGGAGACCCCCAAGGAGCACAAGCGATAGGGACGATAATCACGACCTCTACTGCTTCTTTCACGGACGAACAGGACACGCTACTCCGGCTTGCCGACACCTCCACAATATGCTGTATGAACAATACAAAGAAGGCAAAATCAACATCGGAGGTGATCGATACCGGAGTAAAAGCTCCTACTCACGCAGTTCAAACCCCATGGACTCGCGTCAACCCACTTCCACCAGAGATCGCAGAGATCCAGGAAAAAGCAGCAGTCGAGGCAGTTCTGGAGGAAGGTGCCGAAGTCGCACTCCCGAAAGAAGACACGAAGAAAAGGAGAAGGAGAAGGGAGCAGAGCGCCAGAACGGCGAATGAGAACACGAAAACCCGCCTCCTCCACCGAAGCGATGGGTTAATATGATCATGGGAGGACTCTCCAACTGCGATGACTCGGTCCGTGCCAACAAAGAGTACAGACGAAAAGCAGTCGTATCGCGAAAATTCCCTCGCCCCATGGTCTATCACCCTACAATCACCTTCACATCGAAGGACATGCACGGGTTACACACCCCGCATAACGACCTACTGGTGGTCAAACTACAAATCCACGACAGCGAGGTTACCAAAATCTTGGTGGACACCGGCAGCACGGTCAACATCATCTTTAAAGATACGTTGACTAAGATGGAATTCCAGGACAAAGACATCAAGGCAGCGCCGAAGCCTTTAACTGGCTTTGCCAGTGAATCTTTCTTCAGCCTCGGCACCATACGACTCGTGGTCTATGCCGGCGGCGTAACAAAAATCGTTAAATTTACGGTGATGGACAAACCAGCAATCTATAATGCCATACTTGGCACACCGTGGATCCACGAGATGAAAGCAATTGTGTCGACTTATCATCAATACATGAAATTCGTCACTTCGGCCGAAGTCTTCACGCTTCGCGGGGATCAACAGATGGCAAGATCTTGTTCATCAGCGAATGCAAAGTGCGACTCTCTACGACAAAAGCACTTGAAGATGCTAAATAATGCGACGAAGACTCGACAATAAGTCTTAACCTTTTTCTTTATTTATTTTTCTTTCAATAAAACCGGGCTCAGCCTCTGAGTGATACCACTCATTCAATACTTGTAATGAATTACGAACGGCTTGATCCCGATTTGGGTACGTAGGCAACCTCCGGGTGCAGCTGTAAATCTAATAAATTTATATTTCAGAAAATCAGCTCGGCGTATAGAGTCAAGTTTCTTTATGCAAATGCATCTTGCTGAGTCGATGTTCTGACCAAACATTCGACTCGAAAAAAGCAAGAACAATAAACAAAATAAGTGGCTGATCACTACTCATTTGATGCTTCGGTTCGATTTAAATACTTCTGAAGCGGATAAGAAGAAAGCCGAAGACAATACTCGCACGACCCTCGATTATACCTTTCAGGCCAAAGTGAATCCTGAAAAAATTAGTATTCGATCTTGATCGTCGTTTGGTGTAAGACGGGCAAAGGAATCCCACTTCCAGTTTTGAACTAAAAAGTTCCATCACAAGTAAAAAAAAAAAATAACGAAGAACGATAAAAAGCAATTACAAAAACCTTTTTATTAAGGGAATAATAAGCCATCTTAAGCAAAAATTCTTACAAAAAAATTGTTACAAAAGAATAAATACAATAAAAAATCCCGCTGGATTTAATCTTGCAGCCCGCCAATCTCTGACTGATCTGGAAGTTTAAGGTCGTCGCTCGTAACGACTATCTCATCAATGCCATTGCTGGCTGCCTTTCACTTGGCGAACTCCCTCTCAAAAGATGGAATGGTCCCGGCAGGAAGCTCCCACCCTTTCTCTTGCATGTTCTTTAAGAAAGCCACCATATGGCTACTTTTTTCCACACCAACGAGGGCTGCTTCCACCTCTTCGCGCTGAATCAGCGAGGCTTGAATCCGATCTAAATGCGGCTTAAACCAAGCAGACACGCCATCAAAAACTTTGTTGGCGGCATCTCGAGCAGCTTCCTCGCAAGCCTTTTGAAGCTTCTCCTTCTCGGCAAGGAATCCTAGCAAACTCTCTTTGTTCTGCTTTTCGAGAAGCTCATTTTGCGCTTCGAGAGCGGCAACTTGCTTGCAAAGTTGATTAGCTTCAGACACCTCGCCCTTGAAAGTATCAACAGTGCCTTCTAGTTAAGCTCACCGCTCCTTAAGAAGCTGATTCACTTCCTCCACCTTTTTAAGCTCCTTGATCTCGGAACATGCAGCGTTTACCATCGCTTCTTCCTCGCACCAGTTATCGTCGTACGCAGCGAACGCAGACATATATTTTCCCAGACCCTGTATTACAACATACTGTAAGAAACGTGCCAAAAAAAGAGAGAAGAAGATGGATAGCACAATCATCGGATAAATAAAATTATCCGAGCTATCAATTAGCTCGTCGAGGAGATCGAATTCACCAGCTTCAACTCGCGAAGTGGCTTACCCCATCGCGGCTTCTCCCTGTACTTCCAGATCAAGTCCGCGGCAAACTCGCGATTAAGCATCGCTGGAGCATTCCCGTCCCATCTCATGCAAAGATGATGAGGATTATAATAAAAAAACTCCTCCTCCTGCTTAGGTTTGGTCAGAGCGCTTGAATTGGCACCTTCTGTGCCAGCGTCCTTTTGAGAAAGAGTAGCCTCCTCAGGAGCGCTAGAACCAGCAAAACAGAAAAATTGTATTTTCTCGCAAAAACAAAAAAAAATTACATTCCTGTGAGAATCAGTGTTTCCTGGCCAAAACCGAGAAACCAAATTTTTGCACCAAAACCAAAAAATGCATCTTCCTGCAAAAACAAAAAAAATTCATCTTCCTGCAAAAACTAAAAAATTATATTT